TGGTGAAGACGGTTGCCCTTTTCTTCAGAATTATTACTTTTTATGATTATGTCCGATATTCAATTTAGTTTCTCAACTTCTGTAGTTTCAGAAATTCCTCCGGAGTGAGAATCTGACTGAAGTTAAGCCAGAATCTAGATTTAATATCAAAATACTTAAATAATTTTTCAATCTCCATATTATATGTCACTAAGTTTTGCAAATAAACCTGATATAATCTAACATTTTCATCAATTTTTTATTTTGCTTCGGCAAGCTGGTGAAGATGGTTGCCCTTTTCTTCAGGATTGTATCAATGTTCCATTTCCCAAATATTAGCTGTAACCTCCGAGCCAATTCGCAAGAGGATAGACATATCCTTCGTTTTTCCTCTGTTCCTCTTCCCTTCCTTTCATAACCTCCGTCTTTTCATCTATTCATCAACATCCGAATGCTGCATTGTATTACTTCTTCCGGATATCCATTTATAAGAAATATCTGAGTTAGTTTTGTCAGTTTCTTTTCCCAAAACTCAGACTCAATCAGTCGTAGGCTACTTATTTCTATCTTCATTCGATAAGTATGGTTCGAATGGAAGTTAAGGGTTATTTAAACATACGATTTTTTTTTGTAAATGAGTTTCTCGAGAGTTTCTTGGAGCGAAAGACCTCCACATCCAAGAAAGGAAAGTGTCCATTCTCTTCCATATCCAAAGTAAATTTAAGTTTTATATCCATTTCTTTTATGAAGATCAGAAAATCGTCTAATTTTTCTCTTCCATTCGACCAAATTTGGAAGTACTCATCCAAATATTGCACATTTTGAAATTCCCCTCCAACATGTCCATGAATACATCAGCCAACAAAGATATGAATGTAGAACCCATAAGCAGACCAATTAATTGCACATATATGAGGATATTTAGCGTAAAATAGAGCGTTCTGATTGTTAGTTTGATTAATCGGGTTAGAGACTCTCTACACATTCGCTCTACCTTCAAGATGTAATTTTCTTTTTCCAAGATCTTCACTAATGGCTTGAGTGCTTTTTATTCTGTTATTTTAGCGTACAGAGACTGTAAGTCAAAGTTAATCAAAAATCCGTTTCCTTCAAAACTGGTGCCTGTGGTTATTTGACACAATTCGTACAAGTGAATCACTCTATTCAATAATTTGTCATTCACTTTCATTAATTTGAGGCAGATAACTTTAGCCAATTTATGTGTTGGTCCAGGTTTGTTGTTGTCTACCTCTCTCAATGGTTCCTCTTCTTTGTGTACATTCGGCAAACCGTATGCTACTGGGGCTCTTACATCTTTTTGTCCATTCCTCCGTTCATATTAATTTCCTTCAATGTTTCTTTTAGTGCCCTTTTTTAATTTAACTGTTGGTTACTTTGCTGGCAGTCGTTAAGG